CGATGTGCGATTTACAGTGTGGACAATTTGTCTGTGAATATGCTGGCGAAATAATTAGTGTTGACGAGGCAAGGCAGCGATATCGATCGATTTTTCCTGATGGGTCGAACTATATTTTTATTCTTCGAGAGTATTTTTCAGGAAGTGAATCGCCATGCGTTACATGTATTGATCCAAGAAGAAAAGGCAATCTTGGTCGCTTTGTTAATCATTCTTGCATGCCAAACCTTCTCATGGTGCCTGTGCGCTATGATGTTCAGATTCCACATTTTGGTCTGTTTGCTAATCGTCGTATACAAGCTGGTGAAGAGCTAAGTTACAGTTACGGAGAAGCACCGACCAAACGCGGTGACGGCATTGAACCAGTCTTGAAGTTAAAACAATGTTTCTGCGGCAGTGAAAGTTGTTGTGGCTTTCTTCCGTATGATCCGCTGTTATAACATGGTTAACGGATAAGGCATTCGTTTACGACTGAAAATGTGGCTCGCGACACGAACTCATACCTGTTGCCCATTGTTTTCAACAAAATATATTGACAATAAATTTGCTGAACGCCCTCTTCAAAATAGAGTTAGCTATTAAAGACAAAAATAGTCTGCTCTACATTTTCTTGATTTTTTAATAATTAGCTCTCGAGTTTATTATAAACCTTTTAACTTTAGTAAATATTAAACTTTAACTCACACTATCACTTAAATAATACGACTAATTACAGTTTCATGACACAGCTCTGAATCTTTGTAGTAATGAATTTCTTCAAGAAAAAATAAGATATTAAATTATTTTTATGTCATAATTATTCAGTTAAATTCATTAATATCAAATTCCAGAAGTCACGCCTGCAATTTTTTGGCACTTTTTGTGAATGCTTCTAAAACTTGGCCGAATTTGCTACCACTTTTGAGTAAACGGAGAAATTCGGGAATGCGATACCGACTGATCTGATTTATTGACTTCAAAATACGATTGCTGATATCTGTGGGAAACGCGCGTTGTTCGTTTGTCGCTATTATGTCGCTTAGAATTTTCATAGAAATAAGTGCTGTCAAATCAAAGAGTTTTGCAAACAGATTTTTTTTTAATTGCAGCCGGTAACGCATCGCTTCCTGCTCTTCTGTCAGTGGCAATGCCGAAATTTCAGGAAACCGCTACAGTGGTCAAAGATGAATTTGTAGAA